AGAGTTCATGCTGGACAGCACCAACAAATCCATGAGGTCTCCTCAGTCTTGGGAGCAGCTTGACAAATCATTGGAGACCAGCAGCAGTGGACCAGTGGAACCTGGACAGCTGGGCCCTCCCCAACCCGGAGGAGCTGAATGTCAACTAGAGCTGATCGCCACAGCTATCATGAAACCCACATAGCAGGACAGGCATTGTGTCCAAAACCTGAAGAGCTCCTCAGGATGCAAGAAGAGCAGCAAATCAGTGCTCCTCTGGGGCTTGAGCTTCACCTGCAAGTCCTGCTGGGGCACTTGGGCACTTCCAAATGGGAAGGGACCTGACTGATGCTCTACAGGGTGGGGGGTGGGGCAGGGACATGTTGACTGCAGAGAGCATCCTGGGGTTGCACTACCTCCACAGGGTGATGCTACACAGCTCAAGGCTCCTTGTGCTACAGAACCTGGGATCCAGGATGCTGTGTCAAGAAACTATGAGTGGCACAAACAAGAACTTGGCAATGCAGGAGGGGAAAGAAGATGTGTACAAGAAAGGCGGCCAGGAAGATGCCTGCCAGGTTGAGACAGGCATTGCTGCCTCTGGATGAGGACTCTCCTGATCACTCATGCTCAAAACCACACCTGAACTGGCCCTGAGCACTTGAAGCTTTCCAGGCAACTGGACATGCCCACTCGCCTGGGTCTCCTCAAGGAAAAAACCCATGTTTGATCATCTTATGCCACCAGCTCCCAGGATGGACCAAGAGAGGGCAGAAAGGGCAGGAGGCAGGTGTTGAGAAGGTTCCAGAAGGGGCACAAAATGAAGAACAACAGTGACACACATGGAAACAGGCATGCACGCAAAGCAGGGCCAGGACGGTGGAGGAAGGCAGGTGTACAGGGCACCTGCACCAGGCAGGTGCTCCTAGGCCTGCAGCCTGGGGCAGGTGCTCGGGGCAGGTGCTCGGGGCAGGTGCTCGGAAACCAGCGAGGCGCGGGAACTGGCGAGGCGCGAGGCCAGCGGGCGCGGGCGCGGGCGCACTTGCCTGCGAAGGCGGCGGCGGCGGCGGCGGCCTCGTCGGGGCCAGGCAGGGCCTCGGCGCCCATGTCCATGTGCCCGGGCTCGGCTGCCATCACCGCCACAGCCGTGACCCGCCGCGTCTCGCGTTCCGCCTCCGAGTCCGCGTCCTCCTCCGAGTCCTCGTCCCTGCTCAGAACCGGCTCCTCCGCCTCGCCTCCCGCCGCGGCCGCGGCCGCCGCCGCCACAGCGGCCGCGGCCGCCACCGCCGCCGCCTCGGCCAGGCCCAGCTGCTTTGCCGCCGAGTCCGAGTCCTCCATCCGGACTCCGCCGAGCCCGCCCGAAGGCGCCGAGCGGGGCTGCCCGAAGCGCCGGGCGCCGAGCCCGAAGTGGGGGCCGAAGAGTCCGCCCGAGCCGGGCCGAGGCCGCCCGAAGTCGCCGCCCGAGCCGGGGCCGAAGCGGAGCCCAGCCGCGGCCAAGCCCGAGCCGAGCCGAGCCGAGCCGAGCCGACGCCCAGAGTCTGAAACCGAGGAGGGTCGAAGCTGCCCGAAGTGTGGACCCGAGTCGGCCCGAAGGGCTCCGAGGCCGCACGAGAGTTCCCGAGCGCGCTCTCCCGACTGCCCCGGGGCCTGAGCCGCAGTCGCGGCCGGCCGGCGGGCTCGGCAGGCTCCGGGCTGACTCTCGCCGGCCTCCGCTGCAGCTCGGACTCGCGGAGGGCGCCTCGCGGCCCCGGCTCCGTCCGCCTCCGGAAGCCGAGCCGGCCCGAGGACGAGCCGAGGTCCGCCGAGCGCGCCCGAGCCCGAATCCGCCGAACCTCTGTGCCCGCCTCCTCCTGTCCGAAAGCTCCCGAGCGCTGCCGGACGGGCGACTCGGGCTCGGCCGCGGTCGGACGCTCGCTCCTGGGGACGGCGGGAGGAGCGAAGATGGCGGGAGGGCGCGGCCCGTGGGCTGCCGGGATCGCGGCGGACCCGGCGGCAAGATGGCGGCCGAGCGCCCAGGTGAGGCGGGCGGGGCTGCGGCCGCGCCTCGTAGCTGTAGTGGCGCCGCAGCCACGCAGGGCGCTGCGGGCTGGCCTGGTGCCTCCGCCGCCCCGCATCTGGCTGCCCGGCCCGGCGGCCGCGGGCCTCTCGGTCCGGATTCCTGATGCTGACCCCAGCGGAGCCTCCGTGGTGGTGCGAGATGGGTCGGGGACAGTGTGGTCCCGCTCGCTTGGGGCACACCCCGGGGCACACCCCAGCACCCCCACTCAGCCCTGGGCACACCTGCAGCTCACCCCAGCA